AGTGGAGACCTGGGCTGCATTTTATGTCAGATCCCGGGGCCCAGCCTCAGGGCGGATGGGCATCTGGGGAATGGGCAAGCGTGAGTCCTTGCCAGTCTGCCCTTGTAGCGCCCATGAGCCTGGACACTGGGCCCCCTGCTCCACTGTTCCTGTGGTCCAGGCCCTTAGGGGGAGCCATGAAGCCTGCCCCCTCACCTCAACCCCAAGTCCTCCCCCCAGGAGGAGGACACAGCTGGGGCTCCAAATATAAGATGTACAATGTGTGTGTATATAAATAGATACCGGCCGGTCTGTGGACTGTCTTAATCTTTTCCCAGTGTCTTGGTGACCTGAACTTTTAACTTTTGATGAAATTCCATTTATCCTGTGTCGTTACTGGCCAGTGCCTTTTGTGTGCCCTCTAACATGTCTTTGCCACTCATTGTCACAAAGACACCCTGTGTGCTGGACACCAGAAGCACCTGTGCGTCTTACCTAAGGTCCACCTGGAGTTAACGTGTAGGTGTGGTGTGAGGCTGGGTTAGCTCTTCCCTCCTCGCATTCATCCAGTTCTTCTGACATCACTTGTTGAAAAGATGCTTACTTCCTACTGAATCACGTTGGGGCCACACGGCTGAGGACTGCGTGCCGACCTGAGCCCTGTCTTGTTCTGCGCCCTTGGTGTCTGCTTCGTCGGAAACCTCACTGTCTCGGGTCCTGTGATCTGCAGAAGCTTGGAACCTGCTCTGTTCCAGGATAGGTGTTGCTCCTTGGGGCCACGGTACCTGCTAATGCACTTTGGCATTATTGTGTTAATTTGATTTCGGTGGAGTTGCATGGAGTGAAGCCATCAGTTTAAGGTGACTGACACCTGCCCGTGAACTGGGTACATCTTTCCTTTTGAGGACTCTAATTTTTCTCAAAATGCTCCTACGTTGGGGGCACAGGTCTGGACTGGTGTAGTCTTGGTAAGCAGAGTCTCCACTGGCTGGGATGTGAAACCTGGTGCCCAGGAGCCTGGGACCTTTAAGGCTCTGGGCAGCAGAGGTGGCCGCTCAGCATCCAACCAGGCAGCTGTCACACCCCACAGCAGTGCACCGTGGGGCTTCACCTTCCTCCCACCCAACTCCAGCCCACCCTTGGGAACGTCCCAAACATCCTTGTTCAATAGAGCAGGGGAGAGGAGGGACTGGTTCCCCCAGGCCCCGCCCCCCCATGCTGAGAGAATCCAGGCCTCTGCTTTTCCTCCATTTGGCTATGTGTTGGCTATGCCTCTTGCCGGGGAAGTTGAGCAGGACCTGCTGCCTCTGTCGTTATGGCTACGAGGAGGGAGGACAATTTCCTGTGAGATATCTTCTCATCGCTCCTGCTGGATGCTGGGGCAGATTAGGTGAGCTCCGTGGTGACGGCTCTCCATTCTGCGGGGACCCAACCATACTCATTCTGACCTCTCACACGGACTGCTGTCTGCTGACTCCATGGGGGAGACAGGATGGAGCTCATTAAAGCCATCAGAGCATCATTTGCTGGTTTTGTTGCAGTGGTAAAATTGCCTTTGCCTTGTTCTCTCCAAATGCCAGATTACAGCACTTCAAGACACTGAGGAAACCTGGGAGGGAGGCCCTGGAGGGGCGGCCACCACTGTGTGGCGACAGCACCTGCCAAGGAGCCCCCACGGTGGGGCATCTCCCTGCTGCACATCAGCCCAGGATGCCGGACCCAGCCCAGGAGCTATAGATGGCAGGGGAGACAGGTGGAGACTCACCACCAAGGTCAGCAAGGAGGTGGGGGCTGTAGCAGCGGGGCGAGGTCACCAGGAGAGGATGAGGGGGTGGACAGTGCAGGGCAGGGGCCCGGAGTGGAGAAGCAGCTGCAGCCCAGCAGGAAGCCATGTTTTGGTCCTGGTGTTCCTGAGCTTGGTGATCTCTCCAGCCATACAGGGAGAAGGGTGGCCATGGCGTGGTCTCGGGCTGCCTGGGACTCAAAGTCAGGAAGCAGCAGCCTGGCTGCTGGCTCACCCAGCTCTTTGAGGGGACACCTGTCCCCAGGAGCCCCAGCCAGCAGCTCAGCCTCCCCACAGCAGTGTCCCGCACCTCCTTCCAGACCCACTCTGGCTCAGAGCAGTGCCTCACAGGGGCAGGGGAGGCGCTGGTGACAGTTGAGCACTCCTGGGGCTGTGCTCCTCCATCTCCCACATGTGACTGTGCTCACCCAGGTGGGGCTCTTGGTGGCTCCTGCGGTGACCACGCTCCCATTGCTACTGGTGGCCTATAGAGCCCCTGCCTGCCTGCCTGGCCCCTTGCACTTTCATAACGATGCTGCCTGGATACAGCACACCCCCGCCCTGGCTCGTGGGCAGCCCCTCCACTCTGTTTTGTCCTCAGTGAACACCACTGACCCTGCCTGGCCACATGGCATCCATGTGGGGCACTGGGGACAACTATGCTGATCTGGTGGCAGATGTTGTGGCCCAGGAGTGGCAGCCTTGACCCCAGCATGCACAGCGATGCAGGGGGATGACACCCAGCCTTCTGAGGCCAGGCTGCTGACAGCACAGATGGGGATGGGGATGGCTGCCTGCGGGGCTGGGTGGTGGGTGTCGCCGGCCTCTTCCCGGTGTGATCAGGACCTGGGACTCACAGGTTCCGGGCATTTTCACCTGTGGAGTTTCCCACAGCCCCATGTCCTGGCCACTTGTACTCTTCAACCCTGCTCCTAGCCAAGGAAGCCTGGAGCCCCCTGGCTGGCCACAGGAGGTCAGGGGCTCTGCAGTTGCTGTCCTCGAAAACACAGTGTCTTCAGGCCAGAAATTCCCCTCTCATTACCCGAGAGGCTGGAAGTTCAGGATGAAGCTTGAGGGCTTGGAATCGAGCTGTGTGCAGAGCAGGGTGCTCTGGAGGCCTCACGGAGGGTCTTCCTGCCTCTTCCCGCTCTGGGCCCCCAAGAGCACCCCGGATTTTGGCTGCACCCTTTCTCCCACTCTGCCTCTCTCCGCTTCTTCTAAAGATAGCCATGGAGCACTGAGGGCCCGCCCCATGCAGGACCTCCCCGACCCCGAGATCTTCACCTCAGGCCTGCGGCTGACGCATGGCCACCTGCCTCCATGGAACCGACTTGGAGGTTCCTTTGGGATGGCTCAGAACTCCTGGGTTCTCCTTTCTCTGCTCTCTGCCCTTCAGAGTGACAGCTCTGTGTCCTGGGAGATGAGGGACACTGAGGACCAGGAGGAGCTGATGGCAGCGAGTCCTGAGAGACCATGGTGGGAGTGTCTCCTGCAGAGTGCAAAGTAGAGTGAATGAACTCTGTAGGGGTCCCCGAGCCCCTCCTGAAAGCCAGCTGTCCCAGGGAGAGGGGTGCTTCAAGAGGGACCCCATAAAAATCACGTCAGTCAGAAGGCTGTGAAGCAGGTGGCTCGGACCCACGAAGCAGTCAGAGTGGAGGAAATGGAAGACACAGGAGAGCCCAGGAAGAGTCCTGCCTCAGAGCGGGGCTGAGTCCACGCAGGGGAAAGGCTGCTGTGGACCCACCCCTATCCCCGGGGCAGGGAGCGAGTTTCCAGAGGACCTGGCTTATTTGCCTGGGGCTCAACTGTCTGCCTGAAAGAAGCCAGCACCCTTCGAAGGAGTGTACCCCAATCCAGAGCTCAGTGCTGGGCGCCATGCTGTGTGATATCCAGCACCCAACCTAAAAATTACCAGATAGGTGGGGACCTGAGGAGATAGGACAATCAGGAGAAAAATCAGCACATGGAGGACAGACCCAGACTGCCGGATGGGGGGAATGTGTGAAGACACATGTCACACATAGGTCAGCAGTGCTTATGCGTTACACACACACACACACACAGAGTGAAAAGAGGATTGGGAGACACTGGCCACAGTGGCCTCAGGGACATCTGTTTGGTCCTCAGGTGCCTGCAGCCCCCATGAGCTCCTGGAGAGCTGGGCTCAGGTGTGAGGTTCGCTAGAGGGGGCCAGAAAGATTGAAAGAAGGGAGAAGCTGGGGAGGGTGAGACACCCATGGGGTCCCCAGTGAGCCTGCGGGCACCTTGGAGTCACCCACCCAGGGGCCAGGGAAAGTGGAAATTCCACAGGAGGGCTGGGATGCTGCGGGAAAGGCAGTGGGGCCTTTACAGGTAACAGGGCGCTGCCGAATGGCGGCCTGCGGCCAAAAGCCAGCCTGTTGCTCTTTTAGCACAAATAAAGCTTTCCTGGAGTTGCCTGCTGCTGCGCGACACTTCCGAGTGGAGTGGCTGTACAGAGGCCTTGTGGCCCACACTGCTGAGTGTTCTCCCTGCCTGGCCCTGTACAGGGTCCGCTGGCCCGCCCAGGCCTGGATCTCCAGCCCCCACATTGCCGGCTGGCTCCAGTTTCGTGTGCAGTTTAAGTCAGTTGGATTAAACTTGCTCCACATCAGTAGCCTGAGTTTCCAAGGGTGGGAATTGCAATCTGGGATTATAGTGGGGCACCACGGGGATCGAACAGAATGGATTGTGAGAGTGTGCGTCGCTCCGGTGCCCACGGGGACCTGGCCCAGGCCGGGCCTCCCTCCCTGCCCTGTCCTGCTCCCTCCTTCTCCCCACCGGGGCCTGAGCCCTCCACTGCCAGGAGCCTGCCTTGTCCTGTGGCTGCTGGCTCGGACGCAGCGGGAGGCCTGACCCTGGGCCACAGGCCACGGGAGCTGCGGGAGCAGAGCCCAGGGCACAGAGATCGCAGCCTTTCTCATCCCCGCGGCCCGGCGCTCCTCTTCCCCTCAGCCTCTCTTTTGTCAGATTTTAGCTGACATCTATAATTTGGAAAGCCATAAAAATGAGTCTAGATGAAATATTAGAGGGTGGCAGGATGAAGAAAGCAGAACAAAGAGGCTCTTGCTGCTTTAAACAGGTCTTAAAACTGCTTTCATCTGTGTGCTCGCCTCAGCCCAGAGAAATTGATTCATTGACCAAATTGGCCATTTAAAATTCAAAAGCCTTCGCTTCCCGAGAGCGGTTCCCTCCTCTCCAGATTTATGGGGCCGTGGAGAGGCACCCCGGTGTCTCTGGTTTCTTTTTTAAGGATGATCTACAGTGAGCAACAGGCCCCTCTTCCCAGAGAGCACACGGGAGGCTGTGCTGGCCTGGGGCCCGGGGCCAGCTGGGGCGTCTTTGAGGCGCTGTCCATGCGTGGAGCTGAGCTCCGGTCCGGTCTGTCTGAGGCTCCTACCTCCAGAGGAGGAGGATGAGGGGTGTTCACAGGGAGGAGCAGGAGGAGGGGCTTGAGATTCAGACTGTGGTGGCATCACGTAGAGAACTAGGGCTGCTCTGCCCGGCCTCAGGGAGATGGACACAGGCGGCTCCCACCTCTGAGCTCACCTGTCTGTTGGAGAAGAGGAGCAGATGGCACAGGTAGGGCAGAGCAGAGCCTGGAGGCATCGCAGGCCAGGTGTGGGCTTCTTGTGCTGCAGAGAACTGCAGAAGAAGCAGAGCGCTGCCCAAGGGGCGAGCTGACCTCCACCTCCCTCGGTGGGGGAGCGGCGTAGATAAGCCTTATTGGTGCGGCCCGATGGGAACTCCTTCCCTGGAGTCACCTGGGCTCCAGCTACCTCTCCTAGGCAGACCAGCTATCCCTGCAGAGCCTTTCAGACTGGAGAGAGATGGGGTGGGAGAGGGGTGGGAGTGAGCACGTCTGCAGAGCAGTCACCAGTCCAGGGGACTCCTTCAGGAGAGCCCACAGGGACGGCAGGAGTGGAAATGTGAGGGAGATCAAGATGAGATCAAGATCTGGGCTCAGTCTGACACCAAGCTGGTGCTAAGTGGCCGAGGGGGCTCCCTTTCAACCTGTGAACAGGGAGCTGTTCCCCTGGCCTGCAGTCCTGCTGAGGTTCTGTCCAGGGCCCACCCCTCTGCCCTGCAGTGCCTTGTGCTGCGTGCCTGACCCTCTGCAGTGCCTCCTCTGGCTGCATGGGGCCTCGTTGGCCCCCATGCTCTCGCCACAGCACACCCTGCCCTTGTCTGCCCAAACACACGCCTGGCCTACAGTGGCCTCAGGGACATCTGTTTGGTCCTGCAGCTTCCCTGGGCCCCTGGAGAACTTGGCTCACGTGTGAGGTTTGCTGAGGAGGAGCCAGAAATAGACTTAAAGGAAGGGAGGGGTAGGTACCCATGGGGGTCCCCAGCAAGGCTGTGGGCACCTTGGAGTCACCCACCCAGGAGCCCAGGTCTGTTAGCTGCTCGCTGTATCCCAGGAGCCAGGCAGAGGATGATCCTCTGGCATTCGTGTGCACGTGGCTCAGGGGCAGGGTGGGGGGGTCCCAGGGCACTTGCCCAGGCAGTGTGGGTGCTGGCTGTCAGGGTAGGTCCGGGGCACTGGGAGACATGCTGAGCTTTGCAAGCCCCTCTTCCAGGCAGATAGAAGGTCATCCATGCTGGCCAGGCCACCAGGAGCCTGCTGCTTCTCTATAGCTCGCCCTGGGTAGAGCTGGGGCCCCCACAGTCATCACCCCCAACAAAACCTCTAGAATCTATTTTAATTACCCTGTATTATTTTGTAACTTTAATTACATACTAAGTGACATACTAAAAAACCATCGTTAAAATTTAAGTCTTTGTAATAACACCATTTTATTACATTTTGATGACTTTATAACTATGATACTTTATTATTCGTTCCATGCTATTTTATGAAGGCACAGTGAGGTTTTTAATACCTAATTACAGTACCGGGTGATCATTAAACCCCACGCGTGTGTGCTGGGGGAGGAACCCCCCATCGGGCCCGGCTGGGCACGGATGGCATCCTGGAGACCCGGGTGCTGGCCCTGGGCAGCTTGCCTGGCTGGACCATTCCAGCAGGTCGCTAGTCAGCCATCGTCCTTCAGAAGTGACCGTTAGACGCTTGAGGCATTTGTGGCTTGGGGTATCCTCCAGGTCTGAGCCCATGAGAACAGCTGGGCTTTGAGGACACTGGCAGGGCCCTTGGACTTCTGCTTTCTGTGCCCGAGGTCACCCTGGGAATCTGTGGTGGCCCAGGGAGCCCCACAGCTGAGCGGCCTGAGGATCTAGCTTGTGGCTGTGGGCAAGTGGGGTGGGAAGACTTCCGGGGAGCAGAGAAGGTAGAGAAGCCAGGGCCTGCAGGGCTGGGGCTCCTGGCCTCTGTGTCCCCACCTTGGGTGGACCCTGTGCCGTCCCTGGGCTGCAGAGGAGCAGCCACTGCAAGCCTGTTTTGTCTCAGGACAAGAAGCACAGGGACGGCTGGAGCCCCAGGGGCAGGAATTCTGCTGTGCTTCCTGCAGAGAGGCTGCCTGTGGTGTGGCCTGCAGGGCCCTGCTGCTTGCCTGGCTGTGGCCAGCTGTCCCCTAGACCCTCTACCCCCTGCTGTCTGTTGAGGTGCTGGCCACAGCCAGTTCCTGTCTGGCACACTCTCTTCTGTTGTTCTGGGGCCTTCCTTTCTTTGATGCCCACTCAGTGGAAGCAAATCCTGCCAAGTCCCACCCCTCCTGCCCTGGTCACTGCATGGAGCACTCTTTTTCTTCTTATTCCATTGGGCCTGTGTTTGCTCCAAGGCCAGCCCAGTAGGCAGAGGCCCTCTCCCATGGACTTGGGATCTGATACCCAGGGAACCCTAGCCTGGGGTCCGGGTATGATGCACCCAGCAGCAGTGTGGAGCCACCTAGAAGCCAGGGGGACCAGACAGCATGGGTGGTGGCCTGGGACCATGCCGTAGGTCCCAGAGGTCCTGGCCCCTGGTCAAGGGTAGGAGGAAGGCTGCTCCTGGCAGTGGCGCCAGATCTCTCGGGACTGTGGCTCTCGGCCTCTCCCTGGGGCTGTGGGTAGCACAGCAGGTGAGTGGCGAATGGGGACAGAGCCAGGCGGGGGGGGGGCTGGTGGGAGCTCGAGGGTCTCAGGGAAACCGCTGCGCAGAGTCTTTCCACCGCTGACTCCTGGAGTGTGCGGGAGCAATCTCGCCAGAAATGAAGCGGCAGCCTCGCAACACTCACTCCAATCCCATGATTCAGTAGCTTTGCACAGGCCGTGGCAGGATTTGATCGTCCCAGGAATTATATGGCCCTCTCGTCCCATTCAGAGGAAACTCAATTACCTGGAAGTGGAGCAATCAGCACTGCAGTGGCTGCGGCAACGGCGGGGGTCCATGAGCTGCGGCCTGGGGGCTGCCAGGTCTGAGGCCGTGGAGAAAGACCCCCCCATACATAGGTACCCCAGGGACATTGAGCGACTCCAAGCAGGATGCCACAGGGCACTGCCTGCCCGCACCTTTTGCTTGCAAGTGAGAGAGGGTGAAACTGAACCAGTGGAGTCCTCTGTAGCAGCATGGGTCCAGGCGACCTTGGCTCTGCACTGTCATCTCCTGATGGCCTGGGGCCGGAGACATGGGCACTGTCCTGGGACATGACTCTTCCCCAGAGTCAGGGGGGGAGGGAGGCCATGGGCATCCTGGTGGCTGCACCTGTCACATCTATGTCTTCCCTTCCCAGGAGGCTGGGGCTCAGCAGCACCTGCTGGCAGCCAGAGGTCCTGGAGCCCCTCCTGTGTGTCCAGACCCCAGCCAAAGAGGCCCACCCCCTCTGTCCTCCACTGGGCTGCACCCATCTGCCCGCCAATCCACAATGATGTCTTGGCCCTGTCCACTCTCCCTGCCCACCCTCCCTGCAGCATTACCCTGCCTTTCTCGGGAGGAAGACCTGCAGCTTCTGGCAGCCACCTGCTTCATCCCCAGCCTGCACAGGGAGGCTGTGGGAGGGGATTCCCTTGGGGAAGGGCTGAGGAGGAGCCTGCAGGCCTGCGGCCAGAAGCTGTGGCCCCTACGAGCCCACTCCTCTCTTCCCAACCCCAATACAAGTCCTCTCCATGGGTCCCTGGCCAGGCAGCCCCATGTGGCTCTCCGTCGACAGGGTCTGCAGTCCATCTTGCAGCAAGGGTCACTCCCCCTCCCCCATTGAGGGTTGGGCCTGAGCCTGCTGCCCGCAGGGCCCCTGTGTTGTGGAGAAGCTATAGTCTTTGCCTTCACCGAGGAAGTTGTCTCCTGGCTTCAAGCATGGACTCCTGAGCCCCCAGCACAGACCCTTCAAGCTCTGATATGGACTCCCACAGGTCCCTGCAGTAGGCACCGGGCCTTCGAGCTCCACAATGCGTGGCAGCTCTGCGGCTCTGCGGGCACCGCTGTAAGCGACTGTGCACCCTTCTACTCGGGAAGCCTGGCGTTCAATCTGTCTTCCTAGTGAGCACTGGTAGACACAGATTCTGGTGTCAGGTGAACCTGTCAGTCCCAACAGGGAAGGGCAGAGGATGGGCGCTGGCAGGGCAGGGTTTTCCTGGTCTGGAGGAGCCTGAGGGGAGATGCTGAGGGGCTGTGGGGCCCTTTCTCACTCACACCCCCCACCCCCTCCTCCATGCTGGAAGGGACCTTCGGGCTTGGTGGACAGTTGGCCTCGCCCTGCCATCCTGGCCTCACCCCAGGTCTAAGCTGTTACTTGGACATCACAGCATCAGTCCCATGGTAGGCAGATCGAAGATGTCTCTGGAACTAGGACAGCCTGGCTGTGGGGCCCAAGGAGCTGGCCTGGCCTGGAGCTAGGGGCTTCTGTCCCTAGGAAGGTCCTGGAGCTTTCATCCTGGGGACACCAGGCAGCCTGAGGGACTGTCGACTACAAGGACATCCCTGGGCTGAGCAGAGAGGCCTGGGCACAGGCAGGCTGGAGGAGAAGGGGCAGAAGTGGAGGGGCCCACACTGGCACAGCTGTCAGCTGACGATGAGGACGGTCTGAGAGCCAAGCGAAGCACTTAGCATGCAAGATGTGCCCATGGGTGCCAGCGGGTGCTCACTGCAATGCATGTGTGAAGACAAGGGCCTGCAGGCATGGGCACCCAGACTTCTCTCCTCTCACCTTTGGGAACCTGGGGTCACCAATCGGGGTCCCCTGCTGACCCCTGCCAGGCCAGGCATGACAAAGACACCCCCTTCCTGCCACACTCTGGGCACAAAGAGCTTGGGTGGGACTTCACTGTGACCTCCTTTCCCCTGAGAGCCAGCGACTGTCCTCCTGCCCTTTGTGCCTGTGCCTCCCTGGCCCGCCCTGGCCTGTGCCTTGGCAGACTCGCCCCAGGACGGAGCTGCTTCTGAGGTTGTGCTCATTTTCAAGTTTGTGTACAATTCCAGGAGAGAGCTGGAGGCTTTGTCCATGTGGAGGCAAGGGGCTGAGTTGGGGTGCAACTGGGCCCCCCAGGTTGCCCGTGTGAGTGTCAAGACCTTGGTGTATGCCTCTGTTTGGATGTGGGACCTCGGTGGAGGTGAGGATGGCCCAGTGAGGTCACTGAGGTGGCCCTGACCGGCAGTCCTGACATCCTTCTACGAGGAGACGTGAAGAGAGACGGGCCCGGGGGACGCAGGG